CTCTCTCTGCCCCTCCCCCGTTCATGCTCTGTCTCTCTCTGTCCCAAAAATAAATAAACGTTGAAAAAAAAAATTTTTTTTAAAAAACATGTGGGAGTTGACATGTCTAGTCGCTTGACACAATGATACAGCACAAAAACCATGAAAATATATAGTAGTACAGAAAAAAAGAGGTGGATAGGTTTTAAAATATTTTTACTGAATATTTTAGAGCAATTCATTACAAGCAGAAAATGGATTTTGACGACTAATACTCACCCAGGTGTAAAAGAAAGGTCAGTGGAAATTGCATCCTTCTGTCAGGAAATGATTAAATTCAATTTTTCTAGGTTAAAAAAAAAAAAAAGGAGGTGAAAGGCAGCCACTGATAGAATCAATAATTGCCATCGATTTTCAATGATTTGAAAATTTGTCTGATGATTCTTGAGTAAGAAGACACAAAGTATCTACAGTGCCCAATTCCTTCAAAATAAGAGTGTATATAAAATTTTTACCAATATTTGCCATTTTTTGAAATCAGAGAATGCAATAGTTTGTACGAAATAATGTGAAACAAATATAATTTCCTGTGCATATTTTAACTTTATGTATTCATTTATTTATTTTTAAGTAGGTTCCACCCCCAGCATGGAGCCCAATGTGGGGCCCGAACTCACGAGATCAAGACCTGAGCTGAGATCAAGTGCCAGATGCTTAACCAACTGAGCCACCTAGGTGCCTTCTGCAAATTTTTATTTTAATCGATTTTTGTCCTCTTATTATTTAGAAAAAATGTTTCATTATGCAATTAGTCTGTAGTCATTATTGAAGAAATAGAAAAATCAGACAGGCAAAGTGAAGGAATTATTATTTGTAGGACTACCACTGAGGGAAAAGTGGTTAGTATCTTGGTATACATTCTTCCATACTGTTCCCCTTGCATAAAAGTATTTCTCAGAAATGATATCATACTGTATGCTTGTTTTAATCAATGCATCCCAGACATCTCTCCGTACCAACAAATACAATTTTACATCAGTAATATTCAACCTAGTGAGGGACATCAGGATCACCTGGGGGCTTCCACAGACCAAATTTGTGTCCCCCTTTGGAGATTCCTTCTAGATAGAGGGCCCCCCAAGTCATTGTGTGGGGAAGCCTAATATCGACAGGAGTATATATGCCCCTTAGGGGTTGGGTGGAAAGCAGGTAAAATACTCTTTTGCACCAGTATCTTAAATTATCTGCATCTGAACGCAGGGACTAGAATTTATTTAATAAATACCCTATTGGTTGATGTGTACTTTGTTTTTAATATTTTCCTCTAGTAAATAATTTTGCTAACTCTTTCTTCACATCCTTAATTATTCCCCAGGGTAAATTAAATGGGGTGGAAATAATGGCTCAAAGAGCATGTGTGTGTTTGGGTGTCTGAGTGTATACAAACATATGTGTGCATATAAAGAGTACATATATATGCATATATGCATACTGTGTGTGTGTGTGTGTGTAAAGCTGTTGATGTTACTGCCATGTGCAAATTTCATCCCAATGTACACACTTACCAGCAGCCTATGAGAACAGCTGCTGACTTGAGCCCTTTCCAACACTGAGTATTAGGAATTTTTAAAGCTTTGTCAATTTAAAGAACAAAAAATTATATCTCATCATCATTATTATTTATTTAAATTCATGTGAGTTATCATATAGTGTAGTATTGATTTCAGGAATAGAACCCAGTGGTTCATCACTTACATATAAACACCCAGTGTTCATCCTGACAAGTGCCCTCCTTAATGCCCATCACCCACTTAGCCCATTTAAGAGTCTCTTATGATTTGCCTCCTTGTTTTTAATCTTATTTTTCCTTCCCTTCCCCTATGTTCGTCTGTTTTGTTTCTTAAATTCCACATGAGTGAAATCGTCTTACTCTCACTGACTTATATTGCTTAGCATAATACACTCTAGTTCCATCCCCGTTGTTGCAAATGACAAGATTCCATTCTTTTTGATGGCCAAGTAATGTCCGTTGTGTGTGTGTATGTATGTATACATACACACACACACACACACCCCACATCTTATCCATTCATTAGTCCTCCTCATTATTATTTTAATGCTTTTATTTGGATAGTAGTGAGTACAAAAATGCTTTTCCATGTATTTACAGGTGAGAATTATTTTTGCCATTCAATCCTTCGAGGCTTTTCCTAGCGAATCCTGTGTTTTCCTCCCTCCTCCACGTTCCAAGTCCCTATAATCTGACGTGCCTGGCCCTCTACTGGCACATCACCTCTCTCTGAACCCTCTTCTCCTGCTGTTTCCTCTGCCTTGAATGCCACTCTCCTAAACTCAAACACCATCCTCCTTATGAAGTCTTTTTTTTTTTAAATGCCTGATCTTAGGTGAATTTCGTTCTGCGATCCAAGTTCTTAGCGCACGCAGCCTGGGCTATAATGGGACGCCCAACATCACAACAAAATGACTCACTGAGAAGCAGTGGGCCCCCTGCAGCATCTCGAACTGAAAATGAGCTCTCTTTCTCTCTCTTATAAAAGTCTGAAGTTTTGGGCTGATGACTGTATACAGAACCTTGTTAAGACCCACAGGAGAATCCAGAATGGAACCTTCAGAAAGTCCATTCTGTACGGGTCACCTGAGCACTTTTTCTAGGTGGCGCTTTCTTGTCGCCTTTTCCACAGTCAGAGCATGTGGCTTTGGTCATTCACTCGGCTACACTTTGGACGACATGAACCACCTGTCCCAGCCTGATGTTGCCCAGAAAGACTAACAGCTTAGTTATTCTTTTAATAAGAATGGGCAATATAAGCAAAGTTTGAAAATATTTTCTATAACCCAAGAGACCGAATTCAGTGAGATTCTGATGTATGTGAATGACCTACAATTCAGGGCTTGAGATGATGTGGCCTCTGGGTTGAAGGCAATCGAAGAAGTTACACTGGCAAGGTCATGGGCATCCCTGTTTCTCTCCAGCAGGGACCATTCCCAGGGCATATTCCAAACTGAAAGACTGTTTCCAACTACAGACCATGGGCAAAAATCTCCTTCCTTTGGGGAAGGTGGCAGGGATGTAGACTGCACAATTATAAGGACCCAGGTGTAGAGAGAAAGAGGCAGAACTACCATGCTGATCACAGAACAAAAGACTGCATGAAAGGAGTGCCTTTTTCAGGGCATTTGGGGGGACAAACTTTCTTAGTATCACAGTTCATCACATTTCTGTGATGAAAATAGACTTCTGGGAATTTTCTCAGTTCTAGAATTATCTTCAAGCTACAGCAAAGATCATGATACAAGACAGTGAGTTTCCCAGCATGCATCAGCCGAGTTCAAGAGTGACTTGCCCTGAAAAAAAGGAAGTGGGGGGGGTACGCCTGGGTGGCTCAGTCGGTTAAGCATCCAACTCTTGAACCTGGCTCATGATCTCGGCTCATGATCTAGGGGTTCATGAGATCGAGCCCTGCGTCGGGATCTGTGCTGACAACATGGAGCCTGCTTGGTATCCTCTCTCTCCCCCTCTCTCCCTGTCCCCCACTCACACGCTCACCCTCCCTCTCTCTCTCTCTCTAAATATCAAAAAAAAAAAAA